ATTTACATCCCAACCAGTTTCCCCTATCTTCCTTCATCTATCACATCCCCCCTCCTCCTCTCTGTCCCACCACAGTCCACTTTTTCTCAATCTCTGTTTAGAAAGGGGCAGGCCTCCCATGGCTGTCAACTAAATATTACATATCAAGTTGCAGTAGGTCAAGCAGTCATCAGAGAGAGGTCATGCCCAGCTGCGAGAGGGAACTTAACCCTGACACTGCCTGGATGGCCAGGATCCAGAGACTGGATATCCCAGAGACCTAGGACAGAACCAACTGTGAAAAGATTCAATGAAGTGATTCCTGATGATATTCTTCTATACTCATAATTCATCCAGTCACTAACTGATGGAAGCAGATTCAGACACCCACAGCCAAATAGTATGCTGAGCCTGGGGAATCCTGCTGAAGAGAGAGAGGAAAGATACTAGGAGCCAGAGGTATCAAGAACATCATAAGAACCTCCATAGAATCAATTAACTTGAGTTCTTAGGAGCTCCCAGAGACTTATACAACAACCAGGGAGCCTTTAAGGGACTGACCTAGGGCCAATGCACATATATGACAGTTGTGTAGTTTGGTCTACAGTTGGGACTAATAACAGTGGGAGCAGGGGCTATTCTTAATACTTTGGCTTGCTTTTTTTTTAAACAATTACTCATACTGGTTTGCCTAAAGTAGCCTTAATACAAGTGGGGGGACTTCTTTAGAAACTTCAAATCCTTCTTCCATTGTCAAACTTTCAGTAAGGCCATGCCTTCTAATTCTCCCCAAACAGCTACCAACTTGGAACCAAGCATTCAAATGACTGAGACTTACATGGTTGTGCATCTCGTTTAAACAAATACAAATAAATTCTAGACCAATTTCTCTTGAAATTCGAGGATTTTGAAATGAGAGGTTAAAATGCCAATTACATTTTTTCATGTTTGTCTGTTTTTTTTAAGTAAAGAGGCATTTCTGATGAAACAGTGATTAATGCTTAAGAGAACTAATTCAGTTTTGCCCAACATCAGATTCTTTTCTAATGGCTAAACTAAGAACTAGTTACCTCTAATTCAGAAGTAATAATAATATTCAATATCTTCCCAACGTTCTCTTTGAAATTTTATCTTTATTCTTATGAATAATGCCTAGAAAACTTTTTCAAACTGTTCAAAAATAAGTAGCACAGAATTCTGTCTTCATGTGAACTGGATTAAAATGAGGCTTAAATCTAAGAAGACTGTGATTATTTTAAGTCATTCCTCTTTTCTTGACAGGTTGACACTTAATTCCATAAAAAGACATACAGAACAGTTTGGTACATGGTACATAAAGAATAAGAAATGCATATCTGCATTTCATTTCTCAGGTGTCATGGATCATTTCTAATAATTTTCCTATATTAAGCAATGTTTTTAAATATTATAGTTTTCAATAATTTCAGTTTGTCTCATTAGCATTACAGCAAAACCTGTAAAATTTTTTGTTAATTATTATTTTGAAGCCATTCTGCAACATGATTTCCTCATTCTTCTAAACTGGAACTCTTTGCTTGGAGAGAAGAGTTGCAAAAGAACACTTTTAAATATGTGGGTCTTACTTGACCATTACATTAGTATGGATGCTCAAATTGTTTTCTGAATCTTAAATATACTATATTATTGTATATAATACAATATGTAATATACAGTAGTTACCAAAGTTAATTGAACAGGATATATTCACACAATTGGCTTTCAATGTTTAAACACTTAATATGCCATCTTTATTTAATTCAATGGATATTTTAATTTAACATTGTGTATCTAACAGTTTGCTTCCTAGTCATTCCTACCAGCAATTGACAGATTTTAGATTAGACTTTTTAAATATGCATAGAAAAGCTTGGAGATACTTGCTTTATATTATTATTATTATTATTATTATTTTTCTTAAATGTGGCTCCTGAGCATAGGTATAGTGAGAATCTTTAGCCTTAAGCTGATTGCTCAAGAATATGAAAATGTTACAATTTCACCTCATGTAAAATGTTTCCGACCTATTGCATGCCCATCTAAAGTGTAGATTTAGTTCATTTTGCATAGATTTGTCCTACCATTCTGGTACATCTCTGGCATCTTGAATACACTATTTTACCCTCAATTTGGAATATATTGCCTTCTCTGAAACTCACAAAACTGAAACAAAATGTTCTTTCCATCATCTGAAGATAAACTCTCTGACTTCCATTCTTGCTTAACTTAATAATTACTTTGGGTTACAGAATTTATTTTCCTGTTTCCACAGTTGAGGGTTCTGCAGTATCTTCCTTTAAACCAGTGAACATATTTGCATGATCAAAGAGAAAACAAATTTATACCAAAACTTGTGTTGGTGGAATACAATCAATTTTAACAGAGAAAAATTTCAATGTGATACAGAAAGTGAATGAACTTTTTCATCTCGGCTGTAATGTGTCTTCATGCATAGATAACTAAAGTTAACCTTCAATGTCAACATATATTAATGATTTTAGTTCTTTGGATGGCATATGAAAAAAAGAAAAAATTAGGTTACTTTCTTGATTTTTCCACTTAGCTTATCATTACATTGAAGATTAATTGTTTCCAATTACAGGTTAGGTAACTGTCCTCGATTGTTTATTTGTCATAACTCACTTGAAATTCTTTGAATAGAGATTTGTCTTCCTGTTTTAAATTTTTGATAGTGCTGGAGTCTATAAATGAATTTGACAAGACTTTTGATTTGAAGTACTTTACTTGCCAAAATGCCTTTCCTGCAGTATAAGTTTCACATATAAACACTGTTTTGCCTTGCACTTGCAGTTTGATTTATTAAGAAATGTCAAGTCTATAGTAGAATTATTTTGCAATGTGATTCACTGTTTGGTAGTAATAATGAGTGTTTTTCTTGTCATTCAATAAAATTGCAATCTCAGCAGCAAGCTCAAAATACCTATATAAATCTTGATTATTGTTGATCCATCCAAATGCTTGTTTGATATAGTGAGTCCGGCTACTTAACCTACAATTTTGACCAAACTTTACCAACTCCTGGTAATTCAGGTTACAAAAACGATGCTCACTATTGATTCTACTATTTCAGTAACAAATAACAGGTTAAAATATGTCCAAAAAAGTGCCTCTTGATACAGAAATGAGCAACACTGTGCACACCATATATTTTCACAATATTATTTGATTAAATGATACTTCTCACCACACATACTTTTTACCAGTTATCAATCATAACAGTTAATGTTTTTCAACATCTTTAGACATATTCTACATACTTTTTGTCCATGGGAGCAATTAATATAGGCATAATCATTTCAAATTTAGTATTGATTCTTTACATAATAAACAAATATTTATTGTTGGTAACATCTGTTATCTGATGGAGAGACAATGAAACAGTTCAAGTCATTTTTCCTTATTTTCTAAATTCTCCCTTTTATTTAATATATTTATGTCCATAAATACTTAGTGTAACTAAACTGATCAAAATGCTAATCCCCAGGTTTATTTTTTTCTGGATACATTTCATAAGATTCAGTAAGTAAACAAGATTCAATTAAATGGCCATTAATAAATAGTTTTGGGGCCAGTACATGGATAACATTTTTAAATAGTTACTTTGCTCATAGCCTTTGTCTTTTCCCAAATTTTATTTTTTCATAACAAAATTCTTTTATGATGTGGTGTTACATTTTGACTTATTATTCTCACAGTTGTGTTTCTGTGAGTTGAAATATGGTGATAACTGTTTGGTCTAGCACTACAAACATATTATGTGTCTTTTATGTGACATCAATAGTAACCCTTTATAAATATAAGTGGACCTTTAACTGATTGAAGTCTGTTTTTTCTCTTTTCTTCCTTGTTATATATGATGAGCATGGCCTGGTAATACAAAAAGAAATAATAAATTAATTAAACTGTCATAATACAGTGATACATGAAACCCTGACTAGTAGGAGCACCAACATAGCAATTTGCAATGTAATATCCAACACCACAAAATCATGAGACCATAATATAAGAACTCTTATAAAACGTCTCAGCTTTAAAACTTTTGAATGTAAGCATCCACCAGACATTGGTTTGTATTATTTCTACTTCTTAAAATGTGTTCTTCCTTTAGTTGATGATATCATTACTTTTTTTGAGACAGGGTTTCTCTGAATTGTTTTGGAGGCTGTCCTGGAACTAGCACTTGTAGACCAGGCTGGCCTCAAACTCACAGAGATCCGCCTGCCTCTGCTTCCCGAGTGCTGGGATTAAAGACATGCGCCACCAATGTCTGGCTGATTTCATTTCTTTTAACCAACATTTTACTACTGCATTACCTAAAATGTTATAGAGTGAAAATATATATCATATGCATTTAATGCTTTAAACACAGAGCATATACTTTATGAGTAAATCAAATTAATTGGATTAACAAACTTCCTATGCTGAGAATATAACAAATAAGTACATTATATTTTAATATAAGTGATATGGGAAATAAAAAGTGTTGTCTATTTCATGCTTTATTTTCAGAACCTTCCAGGTTGGTCATGCTGTAACCCATAATAACTCATTTACTGTGATTTCTTAATTGGTCTAAACCACCTGGAGTTAGATATAGAGGAAAATGCTGAGAGATAAGAGAGAAGAGGAAGCAAGCCAAGGCCACCTTCACCTCATTACCTTTCTAGCAGAAAAGAGAGGAGCTGTTTCCTGTTTCTTCCTGCATATATCCTCTCTCTGCCCAGCCATCTTATTTTCTGTCTGTACAGACCCCCTGACATCTATACTTAGCTAGTGGCAAGCTTCATCATCTGATCTTCAGACAAGCTTTATTTGTACAAGCAAGATTATCACCCCAATTTGTTATGTAAAATATTGTTTCTAAAGAGATACAATTTTCTCATATACTTGTATGCAACGTCTGTGTGCCCTATGTGTATGTATGTATATATGTTTTATGTTGAACAAGTCGCTTAAAATGCACTTTTTCTTCCTTTAAACAGACAATGAAGGAGGTGGTACGATCTTGCACCCCTATGAAAGAGGTGACAACTGTGGAAATCTGGACTCATCCTCATCCACAGGTATGAGAAAAGACATACTGCTAATATTTCCTCACTTTTCATTTTGCAGACAAGTTAAAACTTTTCTTCCAAGGTTACAATATTTGGGTCAACAAAAACAAGCAATATACAGATAAACAAAATGGCACATAAGCATGCTAATGTAAAAATATGTATTGTATGAAAATTCAAGGAATGATAAAATGGTTCAAATATAAACACTGTTCATGGAGAAGAAATGCATGAGGTGTATGTAATTTCAGAATTGGAGTAAAATATAGGAAAACAAAGTGGATACGACAAACAGAAACCAAAGAGTTCTGAGCTCTGCAGTAGATTAAAACAAGGGGTGAGAAGATAAGGGACAGAACTACAGAAATACCCAAGTTAATTTTGTTACATAGCTTAAAGTTCCAAAAGCAACATTTCCCAGAAGAAGTGTTGATGTATTAAGTATAAACTAATAGAGACATTTAAGTCTGCTTTTCTAATTGATAGATTGTGCTAGTCAATAAAATTTTAGATAAAAAGTCTGAGATAATTTCATTTATTTGAAAAATGTCCTGTAGGGAGATACATTTCCAGAAGTATAAGAACAGGAGTACGTAAGAGAGGCCATGATTTGAAAGCAAACTCTATAATTCTTTTTGCTCAGTGTACTCAGTTTGACAACCTTTATACTAGAGGGTTAGATTTAGTAAGTGTCATCATATGCAATTTTTTTATAATTGAATGAGTAATTCATATTTTTTCTATATGTGCTCCATCACATTTCTTCAGGTATTTTCATGCTGGAATCCAGTGATGGTAATGAAATATTACATACATTATTTCTTTCTAGTGTAATTTGATGATAATGTTACTTCATCTGCTAAATCAGTTAAAATAAATCTCATAGAGTGTTTTTTAAATGACTGTCAGCTTTATAAATATTTAATTTTATTTCTGGGGTCATACATAGAAAAATTAATTTTTCTATTTTAATATATTATTTAACATCAAGATAGGTTTAGCAAAAATATAGCAACATTTGTTCTATTGTTAGTCACATTTTTGTGACCATCTCTCAAATTAGTTCATGGGAGAAGCCATTTGAGCCTTTTGCTTTTTAAATTAAGTTGGAATCACTATTGAAATGCTTTTTCTCATTTTAAATAGGACAAATTATACATGACAAGCTAATGCAAGTTTTTTCCACTTAAGTGTACATTCATAAATTAGGCTGCAGAGAGCAATGTGTCAGTTCCTATGAAGTTTGTTTTTATCAATCAGACTATTTTACTGTTAATACTTTAAAGGTCCTATGTAGAGTAAACTGTACTTCAGTGGCGTAATATGTAGATAAAATCCTGGGGTCAATTCCCAATTCTACAAATGAAATACTAAAGTAAGCATTCAGAATCTAATCACCTGGACAACAAATTAACCATACGTTTTCTTCTATTTAGATATTGTCAATTGCCTTTTAGTTTGTTACAGGAGATATAAATTCTAAAACGTATACACATAAACGAAAATCTAAACCTTAGGGAAAAATCATGCTTATTTTCATATAAACTTTGGAAATACATGAAATCTATATTCTGCTTACAATGACATTCTATAATATTTCCCATAGTTAAAATATACCTTTGTTCAGAGTTACAGAATTTAATTGTTTACAGTAGAAGGAAATGTTTAATTTTAGATATAAATTTCAAACTATTAACTGTTCAAATTTCCACAAAATTTAAATTACTCAGGTCTAAATCAGATACTTTACCAAATTTCAGGTTCCAGCTACCAAATTTTGCAGTTATTCTGGTTCTCTCACATCAAAATTGCTGAAGATTGAGAATACATTGTGAATATAATATGATCCAGGCTATAATTGTGTCTAAGATGATGTATATAGTTTGATGATCAGTTTATTGAATACTTAAAGGTGAAACTGCCAGTCTTCAGAATAGAAACATTCAGAAAAAGTGCACCTTACTTATCATTTATTTTTAAAGTTGCTTCAGGCTCATGCAAGTTTTATAAATATTCTGGCATTAATGTATATATCCACTCCTACATAATGTCCTACATTGTCCAAATTTTTTATCTGCCACTATGACATAAATTACTATTTTTATGCACAGTTAAAAGTCAAACTGAGTAAGATATTTTTCTCCATGAATTAGAGACTCACTGAGAAATCATTTTGTGGATACAGGTATTATAATAATATCAATTAATTTTATTTTCTGATTTGATACAAAATACTGCAGCTTTCATTTTGTTAACAAACTATGGGTGCTGTTTACTTGAGTCTCTTTAATTATCTGATGTTATCCATTGTTATTGTTATCGAGTCTTCAATTCACAAGTTCAAGACAAATTGTATCTTTTAAAATGAAATGTAACATAGAGTGATATAGGCTACACCCTCTATATAGTTTTACATTATATTCACACACCCAAACTCTGTCGAGATATGCCCCCTTCCTCATTCAACCAATTTTGTGCCTTTTTGCTCCCCATCCATAACAATTTGTGCTACCAAAATGTTCTTGTGTTTGTGGCTTTCCATGCATGGCATAGTGGTCTATTTACCAGTGGCTATGATAATAGAGATAACTGGTTCTTCCTCCCCTAGAAGCTAAAAAGGGTAGGATTTCATGTCCATATCATGTATTCATGCTGGCATTTGACCTAACGAGGATTGAATAGGTCTTGTGTATAATGTCACAAAATCTGTGAGTTCATATGTGCAGCTGCCTGCTGTGTTCACAATATGTTGTTTCCTTGTAGTCATCTTGCAGATCCTGATCTTACACTTTATATACCCCCTCCCCCTTTTAACAATGATCACTCTGCCTTGGCAAGTAGACTTGTGGTAATTATGTTCTGATTAGGACTGAACATTCTACATATCTTTATTTCTGTGCCTTGGCAAGTTATACATCTCTATATTAAAAAGTACCTACTAAAAATAGAAGCTTCACTAATGACAGTTAAAAATACTCATTATTTTTAAAGAATTTTAATATTAATGTTATGCTTACATCATTTCTCATTGCGACTCCTTCTTCCCCCTCCAACATCTTTTGTGTCTTCCCATCACTGTCTAATTTATGCCATCTTATTCTTTAACTTTTATATATATAATATATATTCATGCACACATACATACACATAAAAATACTTTTATTTAATGTTTTACTATGCATATGTGTTTAGGGATGAACACTTGAGAATAGCTAATCTATAAAGGGCTATTCTCTGGAGAAAACTGATTCTCCCACTTTCAGTCACATTGAATGAATGTAACTCTTCATTGTGGATTTGGACCTTTGGAAGCTTTCTCCATTTAGGTTAGGATGGCAATTGGGGAGGTCATTATTCAGATTTTGTTTATGCAAATATATTGTTGAGATTTCATGGGTAATTTTCCCTGCCATGTCTAAGGCATGGAATGATAACTGACCCACTCAATTATAATGCTTAATGAATTAATAATTTAAGACTAAATACTATTTTGCTAAAAATCAAAGTAAAATAAGTGGTGTATATTCCTAGTGATGTGTCCTATTTTTATGTGACTTTCAACAGCAGTTACTTTGTTACTGAATAAGGAAATCATTCAAAAAGACATACTTCCATTTACAGATGTGGAGAGTACTGTGGCTCCCCCTACTTCATTAAGTAAATATTTTGTGATTATGTCTTATATAAACAGAAATTTAATAGAATGAAGCTACTTTATTGGACAACTGCTACAGACGGTGTAGTTTCTACATATATATTACTGTTTAGCTTTAATTCCCATGAGGCTTCCTGATTACTTCTAGATACATATAAGTAAAAGAATGTAATTTATATATCATAAAGAAAAATTAAAAATGATCACCAGTAAAATAAACTGTCATAAGAAAGAAAAATAACATGGAAGAGATTATGGAAACAGTAAAATATAAAAATATACTTAAATTTATTAACAGTAGTTATGTGGATTTTCTACATATTAAGTAATTCAACACTGATATATTTAATTCTCATTACAAGCATATTACTATGTTTAAAGAATTTGTTATTATTATTTGCCCTACTTTATATGTGTATAAATTGGAGCACAAAGAAATGTTAGTAAATAACAATGACAAAATGAGTTTTCCATGGATCTCCCTAGAAAGCATAACTTTTTAACCACTGTTCAATTGTTTCTCATTTAGCATTAATATACCTGAATCTATTTGCATATGTTAAAGTAAAATGACCTTTGTGCAATGTTAGAGTGAAATGAACAATAAGATATGTGTTACGTTTCACAAAATAAGCCTCTATAGAAATGTTGAATCTACCAATATAAATATTAATAAAATATTTCTGTAGACGAAAAGGCTAATTAACACTACTAGAATGTGAGAATTTCCAGTTTTAAAGAATTACCTTCTACAGCACTCGGGAGGCAGAGACAGGTGGATCTCTGTGAGTTCGAGGCCAGCCTAGTCTACAAAATGAGATCCAGGACAGCCTCTAAAGCCACAGAGAAACCCTGTCTTGAAAAACCAAAAAAAAAAAAAAAAAGAATTACCTTCTAATATTGGAATTATGGAACTATGACTAGCAGGATCACTAATTCAATATGTTAAGGGCAGTTTGAGGGTTTATATTTAGATTTTTTACAAGTGTAATACTCCAAGTGGACATTAACACACTCAAGTTAAGAAGTACACTATTACCGAGCTTTTGAGGTTTCAGGGATTAGTACATGAAAAGAGGAACACCTTTCTAGACTATAAATCACTAAAGATGTTCCAGTGTTCCAGAGACTGTGAATCACTAAAGATTGTCTACCACACATAGATAGTGGATGCCTGCTTGAGATAACTTCTTTACAATATTTTTCCACTCACAACAAAAGTTTCTTCAAAAGATTAAATTAGTGTTTGTTACATTGTTTATTGTTTTCTGACATGCACACTCTATTAACATTATTGAAACTTTGCCCTGTTTCATAACACATGATATTTTTGTAAGGATTTAATATATACATT